AAGTAATCCCTGGATAGTTGTTACATAGATGACATGAACCTTTTTTAGAGATAGGCACTCATTACGCGATATTGGAATACCCTCTAGTTGTCAAGTGGTTGTAAACAACTCAGTCGGAAGGTCGCCACCATTTTTAAAAGGGGCTGGAAGTAAGTCATTTGGGCGCTACACGAAGCCACAAGCAACTGTACTTGTCGTTTTTGTAGCGTCCTACAGTCGTAGTCAGTGCACATCCGTACGTTTCGGTGGGTCGATGGCCTTGATCTAGCTCGATTTGATGTTTATTTACGACAAACTACAACCAATATGTTGACGTTGATCCGCTTAGGTCAATAAACTCGTTGGCTACTAAAACGTAAGGCTAGGTCAAACAATAGCATAGTTGAAGTCCAGGTAAGTACTCCGAAAGGAGCTACAGTCTTGTTTACAACCCCGCTAGCGGTGGCTGCTCGCGATGTGGCCAATCTGATGAATATAGGCTTCAGATTAAGAGGGAGGACGCCAGATAACAGATCGGCTATGACTGTACCGACAGTTAGTACTAACCAGGTTGTAGTCTGCGCAAATTTACAGTAGACGATCGCTGTAATCTGACCTGCGACCAACAAGTACACATTGGTCACCCAAATGACTTTCTGTGCCTAGACGGCCAACCTGTGAATCCAAGTCTCTGACTAGTATCACGATATTTCCGGAACACGCTTTCTGAAGGAAACCACTTAACTGATGATAGAACTCATCCTTGATTGCATCCGGACTGCAAATTGTAAGCGTAAGCGGAGATAACAGAAAGTCATCTTTTATCATACCAATTTTTACTCACTTTAATGAAGCGTCCTAATCTAACGTCGCTTGATCGACTGTTAGTAGCGATCCAGCCGATTAGCTTTGTCTCTTAGTGTGACACCGAAGCTAGCAAGAACAGGCGAAAATGCTGCAGGGTCCTCGGATAAACGCACGCGAAACAAGCCTTTCAAAGAAGCAGATGGAGAGCAAATGTATCGTACGTCACTGGTCGTGGATGGACAACAGACACCAATGTCTAGACTTTTTGAAGACAGCCAACCTGCTGTCCGATCTGCATTAGTGTGAGAACGTTTGAATGGCACACGTGGTTTCAAAAAAGCTGATTCAGAATTTATGTTCGTCGGTAGCATCAAACTTTCTATTAATGAGGGACGAGTTCGTTTAAATAGGAAAAGATTTCCATCTTAGACGAGCTGTTGTATGAGTTGAAGAGTTCGGAGTACCCAAAACAGGAATCAAGGTATAAACAAGTGACTCAATGAAAAGTGAATACAAATACTAATAAATAGTTTTGAGTATGATTTGCGAGAATGAGAACCAAAGAGTGGATCGTTTTTGCAGTTGTAGTCGTTGATGTAGTGTGTGAGTGGGCCAGGAGAGTGCCCGGGTTCCTGAATCGAAGCAGGTCTTTTTCTTAAGAGGCCACTCACTGAACCTTTGACCTACATATCTAATTCACGAGGTAGTGATGCAACGTTAGGTGATGCAGTCTAATGGTCACTGGTGACTAACGATAAGTTCATACGTCATCCCCTTAGGATCCTGTAGCCCATAAACACCATTGGTTTCGAGTCAGGATTTTCCAAATTCTTTGTATCCACCTACCTGGATTAACCATTGGAAATTCTCAATTTCGTTTACATCTCGGCCACGAGAAGGCAGAGTTGGACCTTCCTAGCAGTGGCTATATACGCGTGGCCATATGAAGGCATTGAAAGGCGAAACTTACCAAAGATTTAGCTATTATTTGTTATGTTACGTTCTTAGAAAATTGCCTACTTCCCAGCTCTTCGTCGTGATTCATTTCCAACCATCAATTATTTAGGGTTCGATAATGCATTTATTTTTTGGCTATAAAAAAGTACTACTAGTGAAATAACATATACTCGTAATTGACTTTAATGGTTTTTATTTCACTCCATTTTATAAACACTGAAAGGTAGTGCAGGATCATGTTTCAATACTCGCTTATGTTCCTTCTGTCCCATGTAATTTCTTGTAACAATGCAACATATCAGTCACATGTATTGCCGTAAACCGACCAACTTGATGAAAATGAGTTGTGCTTACATATGTGATGCTTAAGTCATCAGATCACACTTAGATAGTGTTTCTAAATTACTAGTGATCGTCAGATATAGTGGAAAACATTTGACTGGTAGCTAACAATAGTTTACTAAACCAGAATTGAAGTATTTGTTTTTATACATGGCTGACAGTTTAAAAATGCACTATGACAGCAAATATGTGCATATTTTATCATGTTACTGATTTAAAATCATATTTTATTTTATCACTGTTATAACACGGAAAGCTACTTATGCATTTCACTCCAACAGATATGCCAGTTTTCTGGGGAGCCATATGGTAATTACATAAGGAGGAATTTTAGAAGAGATGATACGTGTTAAAATAAAAATCAGAGTAGATTTTCACATATGACTACTTGAAAAAAGCACGAAAAGTTTGCCGCTGGCTTCGATGGATAACGCCTCAAAACACTAAGTTACACAATACTAAATACTACATTTAGTAAACTTTAGTGTGCCTACAGGTGTGAATATTAGTTTCATAGGAAACACCTAACTCCGCCAGTATAACCTTAGGGGCTACTGTTGGTCCCTACCCGGATAAATGAGGAGGGTTGGACATGGGGTTGGCCACCCCATTCCGTCGAAATCTAACTTGCCAAAAAAACGCTAACCAGAAAAAATAATCCAAACCATTTTAACTCTGCCTTGGGAGTTGGAAGAAGAATTATGACGTCACGCGATGAAAGCCGAGTTCCCTCGGAAGTCACGGGGCCGATGCCTCTTCTGACAACCAGAGCACCCATTTTTTTGGGTACATGGAACGTTCTTACATTGTGGGAGACTGGAAGACTATTTCAGGTTGCGGCAGAAATGAAAAGATACAACCTCGAGGTGCTCGGCATCAGTGAAACGCATTGGACACAGGTAGGACAACTAAGACTAGCTTCAGGGGAACTGCAGTTATACTCTGATCATGAAGAGGAAAATGCGTCACATACACAAGGAGTTGCATTGATGCTGTCCAAACATGCACAAAACGCACTGATAGGATGGGAATCTCATGGACCCAAGATCATTAAAGCATCCTTCAAAACAAAGAAAGAGGACATTACAATGAACGTCATCCAATGTTATGCACCTACCAATGGCTACAATGACGACGTTTAAGATCAATTTTACGAAAGGCTGCAGTCAATCGTCGAGAAGTGTTCACCAAAGGATTTGACGATTCTTATGGGAGAACTGGATGCCAAGGTTGGAATGGACAACACTGGATATGAAGACATCATGGGACGATATGGACTGGGAGAAAGGAACGAAAACGGTGAGAGATTTGCAAACCTATGTGCCTTCAACAAACTGGTCATCGGTGGCACAATATTCCCGCACAAACGCATACACAAAGCCACATGGATTTCACCGGACCACACTACTCAGTACCAAATTGACCATGTCTGTATCAACCAAACGTTCAGAAGGACCATGAAGGATGAGAGAACCAAGAGAGGAGCTGATATAGCTTCAGATCACCACTTGTTGGTCGCCAAAATGAAACTGAAGCTAAAGAAGCACTGGACAGCAGGGCAGACAACACCACAGAAGTTTAATACAGCCTTTCTTCGGGATACCGCAAAACTCAACGAATTCAAGATAGCCCTCACCAATAGGTTCCAGGCCTTTCAGGATCTACTCAATGGAGAGGACGCAACATTGGAGAACAATTGGAAAGGGATTAAGGAGGCAATCACTCCAACATGTCACGAACTTCTGGGTCACAAGAAGTACCATCACGAGGAATGGATCTCTGTTGATACTCTTGCAAAAATTGAAGAAAGGAGGAACAAGAAGGCTGCAGTGAATGTCAGCCGAACAAGAGCAGAGAAAGTTAGGGCACAAGCTGCACACACAGAAGCAAACAGGGAAGTGAAGAAGAGCATCAGAGCTGAAAAACGAAAATATGTGGAAGATCTAGCAATGACGGCCGAAATGGCTGCAAGAGACGGGAACTTGAGACAATTGTACGAAACAACAAAGAAGCTCGCCGGAAACTATCGTAAAGCAGAACGACCAGTGAAAAGCAAGGAAGGCAAAGTAATCAACAACACTGAAGAACAGCGAAATAGGTGGATAGAGCATTTTCAGGAACTTCTAGATCGACCAGCTCCACTGAACCCACCCAACATCGAAGCAGCATCCACGGACCGCCCAATTAATATTGGCGCACCTACGATTGAAGAGATCAGTATGGCCATCAGACAAATCGAAAGCGGCATAGCAGCAGGATCAGACAACATTCCAGCAGAGGCAATGAAAGCAGATGTAGAAGCAACTGCGAAAATATTTCACAACCTCTTCAAGAAGATTTGGGATGAGGAACAAGTACCATCAGATTGGAAAGAAGGATACCTCATCAAAATACCAAAGAAAGGCGATCTCAGCAGGTGTGAGAACTACAGAGGCATCACTCTTCTTTCAATACCAGGCAAAGTTTTCAACAGGGTATTGTTAAACAGAATGAAGGACTTCGTAGACTCCCAACTTCGAGATCAACAGTCCGGATGTCGTAAGGATCGATCGTGTACTGGGAAGGGAAGACGAGGACAGAGTCGGTTGGAGAAAACTGGTGGGCGGCCTATGCTGCATTGGGGGTAACAGGCGTAAGTAAGTAAGTAAGTAAGTAAGGAAGGAAAAACCTGCAAAACATACTTCCAGAAATAAAATCACAGTGCTTGAAAGCAAGTCTCCGATGAAGAATGATCGTTATTGGGAAGAATTTTCCATGACTTGAAACTACTTCTAAATAAATTATACCTGTTTAGATGGATAAAATAGTGTATTTTAGATCAGTGATTAATTTAATGTCCCTATATTATGTTGCCATTTTTCGTATTTTTTCATTGGATATTTTAACACTTTTTCCTTTTATTTATTTCTTCACAGTATTACGTGATCATATTTGGGTTGAAACGTGTTGGAAAGATTTGGAAGTAGGGGATCTAGTCAAAGTCCTCAGTAACGAAGGGATCCCAGCCGATATTGTCCTTTTAGCATCTAGTGAACCTCAGGCTATGTGTTATATTGAAACCAGTAATCTAGATGGAGAAACAAACTTGAAGTTACGCCAAGTAGGTTTAATTTAATTTATCACGTGTTGCTGGTTGGTGCAGGCTACGTGGTTAAAGTGATGTGGTTCTAGGCGTCGGGTGATATGGCTCAGAGTCAGTAACAATTATGCGGATCGATTCAATTTTTTTCTTCTGATTTTTAAAACTGAGTATGACAGCGAATCATACATCAACCGAAATTTTAAGATTTACGTAGTAAAATAGGGGAAAATAAACAAATATCAGTATCTAGCAGGCTCCAAATTAGGTACAATAATGTCTTCAAAATAAGCTTCCATTGTTTGTTACTGTCTCTGCTTCCCTCTTCACAACCACATTGAAGACATTATTTGTGAGAGTTGTTTTTGAAATAATTTCAGCAATTAAAATTTAAATGATTCCAATTTCAAATCATGAAAAGCATGGATATTTATTACGTTCAAATACTCTATTAGGAGAATAACAAGAATGCTTCGTAGTTTAACACCACAAATTAACCATTAGTTAAACAACCATTGAAAACCAGGAAACACAAGATGGCTCTTTCGTTCTAGCATGAGACTCTTGAGCGGTGTATACCGACGACCTCATTTAGGATTGAACTGACGCAAGTAGTTAATCTTCAGACTACTGAATTAGGATAGCATCATTTAAATGTTTGATTTCATCTGTTTTGCCACACTAAATATAAACTTTTGTAATTTCGTTTGAATCTATATTGTTATTCTAATACTCGATCTAATTTCTAATGTATATAGTTATAAAAAAATAAGCTGATACGTTCACTCAGTACTTTGGTATGAGTCGCATTCTAAATGTGAGCTCTACCTAGTTGTCCGAACTGATGAGGGTGAGGCGAAGCTCCGACCCGGGACTTCTGGTCGAAAGTTGGACACCTGTAGGGTTTGAACCTATGCCATCCAGCCTCATAGTCCAGAATGTAAACACTGAACTATACGGATTGTAACGACATGTTTAGCTGTAATTTCATTATCTTATGCATTCATTTTTTTCATATGTGCCTTTTGTTATTATTGTTGAAGGGTCTACCAGTTACAAGTCATCTTTTAACTGCTGGCGAATTAAGTTCTTTCGACGCAGTTGTTGAATGTGAACTACCTAATCGGAAGCTGGATGAATTTCTTGGTGTTATTCGTACTGCAGATGGAACGTAAGTCAATCAGGTCCTTTTTCCTTTTCTTTCTAAATTAAATACCCTGGCATTTATATTATCGTATATCGAGTAGATTTTGTTACTATTATTAGTACCATTATTATTACTTTCCTTCAAAATATCTCATTATTCTAGAGTTATTTTATTTTGGCTTCATTTTCGAAACGAGACAACATCAGGCGTTATCCAATGTGTAGTGTATATGCATCAGGGCTTTTTCACAAAGAGGAGTTCTTATTGCTAATTAATCATTCATAAAACCATCGGATGCAATTCGATTGATCTTAGTCCCGACCGAAGCTGCTACCTTGACGTGGTGGTCGGGCTTGCCTATCCTGATGACCCAACCGAGCCATATTGGCTGGAACTTATGTTCCTGAAGGTTCTACCATGACAAGCAGGTCGATTGGAGAGCGATGAGACTAAAAGCAACTACCCAAGGTCTGAGGGCGAAGTCGTACTGCTGACTGCAGAGGGGTGTGACAGTAGTAATGTGTTTCCCTCGGATAACCAGCATCTGCAGCGATGCTGCCTTCTCACAAGGAAGGAAGAGTTAGAAAAGGTCGACCCTAAAAATGTCACACCTCACCCTACCTCACGGATTTCCGTCCCCGGTGGTAAGGGTGTCTGCCCAGTAAGGGCTTTTAAGAGCGGAGCTAATCCTCAAAAAACCTTTCATAAAAAGGCCGTGCGTGACCGGCCTCAAGCAGTTGTCCCTTGGGCTCTGTGGTCACGCACCCAGGTCCCCAAGACCAACACTAATCTATCTTCCTTTTCAGGTTCCTCTAGAAAAGATGAGTTCTACAGAAAGCTTTCGGACCTCCTCCAAAACGTTAAGCGCTCTGATGTAGTAATAATGGCTGGTGACTTCAATGCTCAAGTAGGTAGACTAGGTGAAAATGAAAGACACCTGGGTGGATCTTATGGTGTCGCGTCTCAAAGAACACACAATGGCGACCGTCTGTTGCAACTGTGCTCAGATAACCAACTATTTCTAGCAAACACTAATTTTAAGCATAAGGAAAAGCACCTTTTGACCTGGCGACCCCCGAAGTCGTCTCAACGTTGGACGCAACTAGATTATATCGCCATCAGCCACCGATGGAGAGGTTCGATAGAGGACTTTCGCTCGTTGTGGGTCACATGTTTAGATTCAGATCATGCCCTAGTGCGAGCTCGTATTTGTTTGAGGCTTACTGGACGTAGGAAAGACACCGCAAGGAAGCCTCTTAGGGTTTTACTTAATGATAATAAAGCTAGGAATATATTTCAGGAACAACTAGAAAAACAGTTAGGCGACCGTTTAAGCGATTCCCATCCGGAGGCAGGTTGGAATGATATCAAAAAGGCTGTGGAAACAGCAGTGATATCTGCGCAACAGTTCGCTCCGTTCTCCTATATGGTTGTGAAACATGGCCGTCAAGAGTAGAAGATGTTCGTAGGTTACTAGTATTCGATCATAGATGTTTAAGAAGCATCGCTCGTATATCGTGGGACAACCGAGTAAGCAATGCTGTCGTTAGGAAACAAGTACTAGGTTAGGATGGCAGATCAATAGATGAAGTAGTGAAACTTCATCAGTTGAGGTGGTTGGGACATGTGTTACGTATGGCTAACCATCGACTGCCTCGACGAGCTATGTTTTGTAGTGTAGGAGTAGGTTGGAAGAAAGTTAGGGACGGCCAGACCAAAACACGGCAGAAATCCATGAAGTCTCTGACAAATGGACTGAGTCATGTTGGTAGATGTAGACTACCTGGTTGGGGTCCGCGAGACGAAAGTAACCAATGGTTAGAGACCTTGAACTACATGGCTCAAAATCGTTTGCAATGGCGCAAGTGCACCCATTCTTTGAGCTCTCTGAAATCCTAATCTTCTGGATTCTTCAGCACCTTCACCTTTGTCTTTCTAACCTTATCTCCCTGAATTATACTTCTTGAATAATTAATATCTTCGAAGCCTAGTCTTCTTCATTACCATTAATACCTCTACTATCTTTATCACTATGGGATTTGATTTGACATTTGCTTCTCTTTGCTAATGTGGTATGGCAACATGAACTTACGTACATAAGTACGTAGTTCTACGTTGCAACTGACTGACTGATTGATCTTATTCACTGTCGTCTCCATTTTACTTATATATTTAAAATACATGGATTTTATTGCAGTCGGTCTATAGGAAAGAAATAAAAGAGTAAAAGGGAGCTCACTCAATTCTTAGATGAACAAGAATAGTGTTTGTTAAGATATATCATTCTGTTAACAGAAGTTACCTCGTCTTTTTGAAGAATGTAAGCGATGGAAAACTATGATGGGATCGTCACTGGTTTTTATTATATTCCCCCCTGACCAAAAATGTATCAAGCCTAGTAAGTTGCACAATCTCTAGAACCCCAACTGTGAAGTTGATGTAGGCTGATAAATCTTAATCCCGTACAACTATCTTTCATAACATGGGTCCGTCTCTTAGACGAACCGCCTTAGCTTTTTCCACACTACGTCAATCGTCATGACACGAACGGCACTGGGTTGAGGTCCATAAACATGGTTATGGTGTCCTCAGAGCTGGAGAGTTTGGTTGTGGAGCTTCCATTGTTCTTCTGAACAACCTCAGTAGAAACTACAGAAGTGAAGTAATCGAATCGTGGAGAAATTCGATGTGAACAGTCGAAAATAACGATAATCAAACATGGAAAGTAGCCAAACACTAATCTTGAAGAGTTTCGGTTTTCGAGCATAAGCTAGTCCGGATTGTTATAAGCTACCCTGGTTCACTCAACACAGAGTGGTCTCATCCTCTCTACTACCATCAGCATTAATAAGACTACTCATATACACGGATTTCAAGAGCACATCAACGACTGATGTCCTAGAAGTTAATGCTGGACAAGAATGTTGCGGTGGATGTGCTATAGTCAATATATTTTACATCTGAACTGTAGTCCAGAGCTAAGTACATTGGTTAGTGGGACATAGATGGATTTAAAGCATGATTACGTCACTACGCGCTGATTGGCTAATTTCCTATCCAATCAGCGCCTGATCGAAGCTTGGAGAACAGGATAGAAAATTCTCGTATTATTAGCTGCATGCTGGTTGGTCAAATCCAGTCCAGTCGATCACGTGAATTTTCTTCCAGAAGCTTTCTCGGGTAAAAGGCTATAAATAGAGTAGCATTGTATTTATTCTTGCCATCTTAGCCTTCTTCGCCTTCTTGCCTTCTTGCCTTCTTTGCCTTGGCTTTCGCCATCACCTCCAGCTTCTTTTTCCTTGCTATTTTGGAATACAATCCTTCCTGTTCAACCGTGTTCTGATTTGGGTTACTTGTCCAGTGTTTGTGTCAAGAATACTAAGCAATAAGATTTAGCCGGGAAATATCTTAAGCAACCGTTACAACAGTGGTGACGGAGAAAAAGAGAAATATTTTCAAGTTGCCTATTTCAGATGATCAGCTTAACCGAATACTACAACAACAGCAAGCACAATTAGATGCACAAATGCGGTTGTTGGAGACCCTAACTCAACAGCTCAACATCCAGTGCTCGAGTCCACATACTATTTTAAATACGTCTTGTGAAGCAGTGGCAAACAGCATCCCAGAATTCGTCTATAATCCTGAATGTGGAAATACTTTTCTGACGTGGTTCAAACGTTGGGAAGATACATTTCGAATTGAATTCGGTAAACAAGATGATGCATGGAAGACTCGGTTGTTGCTGCGTAAGTTGGGAAGCAATGAGTATGAACGTTACGCTGACCACGTATTACCGAAGTTACCTCGAGAGCTCAGTTTCGAGGAGACAGTAACTCAGCTGTCAGATATTTTCAGCGAATCAGCATCATTGTTTAGTATTAGATATCATTGTCTAAATCTGGTGAAACACGAAGATGATGACGTCGTTTAACAGAGAATGTGAACGGTTCAAGTTGCGCTCGTTGACGGAAGACCAGTTTAAATGCTTAATATTCATCAAAGCTCTTCAGTCACCGCAAGATGCTGAAATCAGAACTAGACTTTTGATTCGAATGGACCAAGACCCTAACGTTGACAGATGAGTGTAAACGCCTACAAAGCATCAGGCACGACAACATGTTGATTGAACAGGTAAATCCCAATTTAACCAGCAGTAGTGTCAATGCTATTACTAGGTTAAAAGTCCAGAAGCCGATAGCATCTCGTAACAAACCAACGACGGCATGTTGGTTATGTGGTGATTGGCACTACGTACGATTCTGTACATTTAAAAAACATAAATAAATGTCAGATGTGCCATAAACGTGGACATAAAGAAGGCCATTGCCAACCAATTCGTACGTCTCAGCCCAAGAAGAAGCACATACGTACTCGACATGTGGTGAAATCAGCCGAGTCTAAATCACTTTCTCTCGTAGCTGTTTTCCAAACAGACTATGATGTTAGAAGAAAGTATGTGACTATACAGATGAACGGTGCATCAGCTCGTTTTCAAATCGACACGGCATCAGATATCACCTTAATGTCTAGAAAAACGTACAACTTGCTGGGAAAACCGCCAATGAAGCCATCTAAGAAAACAGCTAAAAGCGCTTCAGGTGGTGTGTTGAAACTGGTTGGTGAATTCCAGTGTAAATTTGCCTTCAACGGAACAAAATGTACAGGTATATGCTATCTGACAGAACGGCCAAACCTTAGTCTAGATATGCTAGAAAAACTGGTAATAATGGATTTACCCATTAACAGTGTCTGCAGCGTATCGTGTTCATCATTGGACACCCCGACACTTAAAAAGAAGACAGGTGAAAGGTTACAAGATAAACGAAAGAGGAAGTCAGCCTCTGTTTCTCAGAATAGCCTTGGCCGCAGTACGAATCTGAAAGCTAACCTACCAGCGAAATCAGATGCAAAACCTACTTCACGTCCGAGACGCCCTATACCATATGCTGTTCATGAGCCTCAACAAAACTTATCGGTGGGGAAGCAGCCCAATCGACGGTTGTTTAAAGATATGGTTCCTA